ACTTTATTTTCTACTTATTCGAGCGTTGCGTGATTTAATTGTCGGTCGGCCCAGTTTTACCTTCTCCTTTTCCCTTGTCGTTTTTGCGTCGGATCAAATAGTGGTGTCGAGTAACAAGTAGTGTTTTCAGAAGCGGTCCGATAAGTTTCCATACTCCGTCCTCTCCGAATCTGGCGCCTGCGCTCTGAGCTAGCCGGCCGCGCCGCACCGGTCGCCCGAGCCATGGGCCGGCCGAGACGTTTCGCGTAATTTTGAGATATTGTTGAAATTTGTGAGATTTTGTAGAGCATTTTGAGAATCGGCCTCCGGGGGAGGCCTGGCGCCCAACTTTTTGGTGTAATTTGTGGAATTGGCGCGAAGAGTGCCCTGCTGGACTCCTGGAACTCGCAAGTTCGCGCTTCGGGTAGCCTCTCGAAGGGTCCCGGTGGGCTTCGGGAGGTTACGCATTAGTGGGGGAACGCTAGTCTCTCGGCAGGCCCCGCTCGCAGCGACCGGCCGAAGGTGATGTGCGCAAGAGGCCGAGGCGCAGCGGGCCTTGGCAAGGGGTAGATAGACCCCGGGTGAATTTGCCACGTGACAACGTCTCGAAAATTCGACTGAAAATCTAACGAATAAGTCTGGCGAATAAGTGTCGATGAAAGTAATAAGAGTGTCGCTCGATGCTTAAGTTCTAACTTCTATAGAATTTCCACCTTCGACGTTTGACTCTCGAAATTCCGGCATTGGGGCAAGAAAATGACTTAAGTCCCCGATGGTGGGGTTTGGCAAGTATCTTCCATTGGAGGAAAGAGTTAAAACCATGTTTTAGGGAAAGGAGTAGGGTTAGGAAAAAATGTCTTATTAGAGGAAGGAGTTAAAGAATGTTTTCTAGGGAGAGGAAGGATTAGGAAAAATCTCCTGTTGGAGGAAGGGGTTGAAGAATGTACTTTTAGGAAGAGGCGTTCGGAGCGAATAATTTGGGACAAGTGTCCTCGGGAGACGGAAGTTAATGTTTACGTTTCTTGGAACAGATTATTAATGGCACCGTTCTGCCGGGACTCACGAGCTCGCCCGTGCAGGTGTGGTATCCGTCGTCGCGAGATCCCATTATCTTAAATATTCTGAACATTACGAGGAGCAGCTAGGCTCGAAGTCTTCAGGACCCCTTTCGACTTGTCTACTATTTACGCAGTGGTGGCTTCAGTCTGTCGCGAGAACTAAGATGGGGGGCCCTCGGTTGTCTGGATTGAAGAGAATGAGTTTTATACTCGATGATTCTATTACTTTGAGGAAGAAAACTCCTGGGCTTTCCGGGCTAGTTCGATACGTGGGCCGATGCACGCGCAGGGAACGTTATGTGGGATGTAACAGTACGATGTTAAAAATTAATTAGTGAGATAGGAGGTAAGATAGCGAAAAATTTAGAGTTTAATACGTTTGAAAAATATCTCTGTATGTCGCGATTCGTTTATATACTTAACACGGTATGCATAAAGCTAAAAAGTGACATAACGCTTAAAACGGGTATGATATTTCCCTAACAAAAGTAAGTAACAGTAAGTAGTATGTGTTATTTTAATTAAATTATTTGGGTTTGTGACATCTGGCCTTACATACGCGGGTTAATGACGAGCGAACGAACCTTGGAAGAAACTTTACCGATCGTCGCGAGATTAAGAGGTCGTTTAATATTATATAGTAATATCAAAAAGTTGAGGCGCATCGCTCTGAATTGCTTCTGATGGTTTCCGATTATGATCAACCGAAAATTTCTTAATTTCATTGAAGAGTATTTAATTTAATGATTACCAATTTTAGTGATTGTTTTATTTGTAAATCATAATCAATAATGTTGTTTTTTACTTTGTACTTAGCGTTAAAGACTGATAAAGCTAATTAAACAATCATGAATAAATCACCAATAAATGGCCAATACAAGAGTAACAGAAAAACCTAGAAACCTGGAAAACAAAACTAAAAACTGAACAATATTAAAACACCTATAGGTGAAGAATATAATAATCACGATGTGCCGTTAGCTGAAGGAGCAAAACATTTGACAGTTCAAGTATAACATGCAGGGTAATAAGCCCTAAACACGCGTGATTTCCAATGATCACCTGCTATTTCCGCTGATTTCCAAAATTCTTTTCCGATTTTTTTGTATCTAATCAATTTTACATGATTTCCAATGATTTCAATCGTAGTTACCTATTCTAAACTGTTGCGGATGTTCGAAGGAAAGTCTGAACGCGGGTTACACTGGATGCGAGAGCCAAGATTCGAAGACCTGTCAATCCTCGACGAAATCTCGCGTCAGGTCGGTTTTATGAGTTCGGGCACATGACTTGAGTCCGTAATAAAAATAGTTTATTAAAAATAACTGTTCAGTCAGATAACAATTTTCGAATAGGAAACTATGAAGGCGGCGGTCGCAAGGTATGAATTGGCGGGTGACTATTCGAGTCGCGGTGTGACTTGATTGTCTCTAAGAGCAAGAGAAGTCCGTTTCTTGCGGTGGAATATTTGATTCTGGTTATGCTCAGAGGAACTTTGGTCCAGAGCGCTGTCGGATGCTGTCCTCTAGGGCGGAGTTTTTTGCAAAGCGTTCGCTGATAGGCAGAGAGAAATCAAAGTAGGATTTATAATCGAAGGCGATTGGTTAGTGAGTACTGAGAAAGGGATAAGTTAGTATTGTTTAAGGAGGCGTAGGTGGGGAATATAAAAATGGGCTATAGGTCCAGGGGTTCTTAAAAAGTAAACGAATCAAGGGCTAAAGGACCGCGGAGGTAGATAAGAGTGCGAAGCGCTAGAGTTACTGTTTAGAAATCAATTTAAGTTATGATCATAATACGTGACTGAATCAATGGTGCCATGTGACATGGAGAGATACGAAGAAAAATAAACGGAATTTGAAATAAGGAAGAATAGAACGCCCAGCTCGCTGCAAAGAGTATTCCAAACTAGAAGTTAGCGTTGTAATTAATAAATTATGGATTATTCCTAACATAAACGATGTCGAAACGTATTACATTCTTCAAATAAGGCTCTTATTGATTTCCAGCTGATTTCTATGCGATTTCCAGCATTAAAATGCACGATTTCTCGAGTGAATACCCCCTCAATTTCGCTCATCATTCGACACTGCGAGTTTCTTAATTTTGCATATAATACCCAATGCATGTATTTTGCAAAACTATCTGAGTTCATTGTTTTTGTAGGATTAATCGCCACTATGTTGATATGACTTTGCAAAATATATTTTTCCAGTTTGATATATTTAGCGCAAGTTTTTTTTTACGTCGACGGTGTTTTTATAGCTTAAATGTAACATCGGTTTTGTCCATAACTTAAAAATTGCGGAAGAATATTTCAACCTCGAGGACTTGTTTAAAGTTGACATTACTCATTAGGAGGTTTAGGACATTTTTAGGCCGATTTGACACATTTTCGATCAGAGGATTAAATTTCGTAATTTCAGAAGTCCTTGGACATCCTATTTTACAGTCCTTACTGACGCCTCTTTAACTGCGTTAACATTCCCTTTCTTCGCTACTCTTTGACTAATCGGCTGTTTTGCAAAATGCATCCGTTTCATCTAATCAACCGATCGTCGAGTCCTTTCCTAAAACTCCACCCATTCAAAACTATCTCCGAGCCTTCGTTAAAGTTTTCTTTCCAAAGTTTATATTCGTTCAAACAACCGCGCGACTTTCAACGTCCCGGTATTACAGATTCCTTCGATCTCCCGTGCGACCTTGTGCGTCCGCGATAATTTCTAAATTTATCATATCTGACTCGAGACTAAAACGTCTTTGATACTCTTGAAGCTCCTCGCTGAGTTTACCACTTAAGGTCTCTTCATTCGAGGCAACCGCCATGTTCGCGCGCGCTCGAGAGAGAGCGGCAATTGCATGTACAAGATCTAGTTCATCTCACCGCTTAGGGAGTTATACCATTTTGATCCATCCGACCACGCAAACAATCTCTTGTTCACGTCGCGTTCTCTATTGTTGACTGGTCACCGTTACTGTAAATAAACTTTGTTGCTACCTTCCACGCTTCGCAATCCACCCTTAACAAGTCTCGTAAGTCTCGTAAGTCTCGTAAGTCTCGTAAGTCTTGTAGGTCTCGTTCACGTTTTTCTATGAAGAGGAAACCACATTTTCTGCCCAGTTGAAAGCGCCTACCGTGCTTATAACGCTACGCTGTTTAAGCACTTATACATGTATTTGGTGCAAAAGTCTACCGAGTTTCATAATACTGTGGACAAGTTGCAGTTATGTTTCAGTCCGTACTATTACTTCTACGTTACAATAATCGAACCTCAAAAGTACTAGTATGTCGTCAGATTGAAATATTTCTCTCAACCGTCCAAGTCACACCGTCAAACAAAAAACCTAATAACGGTTAACAGTAGTGAGCTATTTATAACACCGGCATATCAGACGAATAACTAAACTGTACTATGGACATTCTGATAGACATTGCAGACGTGTACTCATAAGAGCAAAGCATCTACTTACTATAAATTGCATGTAACGAGTACGTTGCTGTGTGATACATATGATTTTTCAATCAATACACATCTTAACTAAAATTGAACGAATAGGTGAACAGCCGTATATGACAGAAATTTATAATTTATACAAATCATTGACTTATTGGAAGAAAGAAATCGCATCATCCTTTCGGCGCTGAGAAGTCGCAATCATCCTCTAAACCAGTCCCTGCATTTATCACTACGTAACAAAAGTTAAATCATTTGCGAATCCTGATATATCGTTTTACATAAATATATAAGCGGGCCCGTTAATCAACAATATATTCATTTTCATAAACATTGTGTGTGTATATATGTTAGATATTATTTTTCAATATAATGTAGAAAATACAAGTACACAAATAAATGCATACAAACATCAATAGTCTGATCTACATATCTTCGCATCATAAAGTAACTTAATTATGCCAAGGTATTAATAAATGGAATGTTTTCAGCAAAATCGGTTGGCGCCTTGGTCTTCAGGCCGTAACCGGAGTGGTCTTCTTGACATTTATCTTAGGAACGTTTTATCGTAGCGCATCTTTGTATCATCCCCAAAGAAGAGCAATTCTTCATCTAAAAAACCAAAAAAGAAAAATCAAGGATAAAAATAAAATGGATGACAAACCACCCTTTTTCGACTTCAGTACTCTCCGTAGTAAAACAGTAAGGATATTGTTAGTATCGACAGGGATATCGGCCTTTGGGATCAATACACCAATATTTTATTTGGTAAGTACGACGTTAATCTCAAACTTACAAACATGAACAAAACTCTATTATGAAATTGATACGACAATGCGAATGTTTGGCCACTTGGCTTCAACACATAACAAATTATTGAACAAACTTCTACTTACCTCCATAGCTTTCTTATAAAAATATACTTATAACCTAGTTTATTCAATGAACAGGCTCACCAAGCCGAAGAAGAAGGTTTGGGTGATATGGTGGTACTTCTCCAAGCATACCTTGGCTTAGCTTGGACTCTTGGATGCGTTGCCTTTGGTCTTTTGGTGGTTAATCACAGCGTGGAATGCAGAATAGCCAGACAGTATCTGACGCAGGCTGCAGTGTTCATGTGTGGATTGTGCATCCTTGCACTTACTGCAGTCCACGGGAACTATCATGGCTATGTCATGTTTACTTGGATTTACGGTAAATAGTATACATTCGTTAGACTACGCATATTTCCGAGTAGTACGTAATTGTTAGTGTGATTTGAATGGTAACAGGATGACTCTGTCAAAGAACCATGAAACTCGGTAGAGTTTTCGCCAAATATATTTTTAGCACAAATGGTACCAGGTATCCACAAGAATCGTATGCAGCAACATCGTTAATCGTAACAATCGCTTTATCGCGTTAGTCGGAAAAGAAGATCTTTTTTGATAAAATATGTACTACACCTGTCGAAGTGATCGTGTGATAGATTAAAGCACCTTAATATTGTGAGCGTTTTAAAATTGTTTTGAGATGATTGCTGTAAATTACACTGTGCTACACTGTTTTAAAATTTTGTATATGCTTGGAGATGTGTTCGGTATCATTATCGTTATCGTTCTTTCAGGCATCCAGCCCTCGAAAAGTTTCACCGAGTAGCGCCTCTATCAGATACACTGAGCGAAACAATTAGCATCAAGACAAGATTAATTATTTACGGCAATTTAAATAGTTCTTGTTAAAAATTCTTGACTGCAACAAGATTGATTTTGTGGAAAGAATTTAACGGACAAAATTGGTCTCAAGCACGGATACACATAATACAGTACTTTTGATAATGCATTAAAATTTCATATTTTCTCAATCTGACCTCAAGTATTGAATATATTACTGAAAGTTATTTGATCTGTAAAATATCAATTCGACGCATAACTTAATTGATTTCTACTGTGACGAGGTGGATTTCGGTTCACCCGTCCCGTGAATTTCTAAGGGCCAAGTATATCTTTTTGCCGCTCTTCTGTGCCGCTTGGGTTCGGCGGTCCCCGACACGCGAGGAAGCACCGCCGATTCGTGTTCATTAATCGATTTTTTCTGCGCATTTATCACCGCTTTGTCTCTTTCAATGTTTGCATTTTAGGTATCTGTCCCACAAAAGCTCCCGCATTGCGTCACTCGGGATGCTTCTCCAGCTTTTTGTCTGTAAATAATTAAAACCTCCGTTTCAAGATCTCGAATATTGCGTGAATAATCTTTGAATATTCGGGAGACATTTTAGCCCGACTTAGAGCAGTGTCGAGTCGGGGAGATAAACATAGCCGACCTCCTAGAGATCGCGGGCACGTCGTTGCTCGCCGCGTCAGGAGTCGCCATGGAAATGACGGCCGGTAGTGGGAGCAGGAACGAGCCAAGAAGAGGGGGCGCCATGGCGTGTTCTTCGGGCCCCGGAGGGGTGCCAGCCGACCTTATCTTCGCTAACCTGGGGGCCCTGCCCGCGAGGACGGGCTCTCAGATAGTCCTGGCGGCTAAAAGAAGACCGCCCGCGGGAAAACCAGGACAACCCGGACAGGAACCGGGCCAGGGGATGAGGCTTTGGCAATTTTTTCCCGGTCCCAATCGGCATGTCGGCAAAACGATACCGCATCTCGGGAACGCCCGCTCGCAGCCAAGTCACGGCGCCATGGAGCGGGCACAAAGGTCCGGGACACATGTGCCCGGCGCCCGGGACGCCTGACTTCCGGGCCAGGAGCCCGACTCTCCACCACCGAAAAACTCGGGGCTTGCTGCGATCTGCCCCGGGTGGACCGAGGACCCCCGGAGGGAAATTTTGGGGCGGCTGCTCAAAGAAGAGAGTGGCGCGCCGAGGACTCGGACAGACCCACTACCGGCTACGGCCATGGACCCCGAAGAAGCGCGTAGCGTGTGAGAGGCGCGCGCCACCAACCCCGCCACCATCTCCCCTCGCACGCACCATCCGGCAAGCGCCAATTAGCGCAGCGCGGCGCACGACACCTTTAAGGAATTAGGTGATTGCGGAGCGCATGCAGCCAATCATCACGCGGCAACTTGGATTTTGGGGGGGCCCACCCGAAATCCTTTATTCGGCCGGACGGCAGGAGCTCAGCCTTCTTCGTCATCGGACCACCGGACCAGTCACCTCGGCAGTAATTCTATAGTTCTCTGTGTCTAAGAGTTCAAGTGCCCGAGTATCCAGGTCTCAGCCCGAAGACTCGCCGCGGAAGAAAATAAGGTGGCAGCGGAGTGGCGGCGACGACGGCTCTTCGACACAATAAGTATCCGTTTTCCGCGATTTGGGGAGCCTCATTTTGCATATTGAGGCTATAATTCGGTAGCTTTTCCTTTTAGAATTCGGTACAGGATAATTATTTGTCTCTCTCTCTCTCTCTCTCTCTCTCTCTCTCTCTCTCTCTCTCTCTCTCTCTCTCTCTCTCTCTCTCTCTCTCTCTCTCTCTCTCTCTCTCTCTCTCTCTCTCTCTCTCTCTCTCTCTCTCTCTCTCTCTCTCTCTCTCTCTCTCTCTCTCTCTCTCTCTCTCTCTCTCTCTCTCTCTCTCTCTCTCTCTCTCTCTCTCTCTCTCTCTCTCTCTCTCTCTCTCTCTCTCTCTCTCTCTCTCTCTCTCTCTCTCTCTCTCTCTCTCTCTCTCTCTCTCTCTCTCTCTCTCTCTCTCTCTCTCTCTCTCTCTCTCTCTCTCTCTCTCTCTCTCTCTCTCTCTCTCTCTCTCTCTCTCTCTCTCTCTCTCTCTCTCTCTCTCTCTCTCTCTCTCTCTCTCTCTCTCTCTCTCTCTCTCTCTCTCTCTCTCTCTCTCTCTCTCTCTCTCTCTCTCTCTCTCTCTCTCTCTCTCTCTCTCTCTCTCTCTCTCTCTCTCTCTCTCTCTCTCTCTCTCTCTCTCTCTCTCTCTCTCTCTCTCTCTCTCTCTCTCTCTCTCTCTCTCTCTCTCTCTCTCTCTCTCTCTCTCTCTCTCTCTCTCTCTCTCTCTCTCTCTCTCTCTCTCTCTCTNTTATACTCATTGTCTTTATAGTTTGACCCATTAAACCAGATAAATGTTATTAATATAAATTAACTTTCTGATGATATTGCTGTTATTGATGAGAATATATTATGAGAAAAATATATATTTTTGACTTAGTCAGGTTGAGTTTTAATTAACTTACATAGTTAGATGAGAATAGAAAACTGTAGATGTTAATAGACATATAATATTCAGGGATAATTTATTTTTGGAATAGATATACTTATGTTACGTGGAACAAAATGTATGTACGTTAGCCGTCCTAACCGACTACTAGGGGGCAGCACAGGACGCGATCGCACAACCCTGCCCGTGAGCAATCTTCCAATTCTTCTCTGCTTTCATCTCACCTGAGATTATTTATCCGATTTTGTATCCTCCAGTAAGAATGCGAAATCTCTAGACTGAAAGAATGAGGAAAAAAGGTTTTGGGCGGAAGGGTAACATATATGTAGTAACGGAAAGTAGTCGTAAGTTATTTTTAGATAGTTTTAAAGAAAGTTTTAAAAGGGTCTGCCAGGATGCGCCCGACAAACCATAAAACAATAAAAGAGAAAGTTTCTTCGAAGGAAACCGAAGATTTCCTTCGAAGGCTGCGTCGGAAAACGTGCGATCCATGTGTTCCGAAATGAAAAGGACACGGAGGTCCAAAGCCGTCCCGAAACGAGAAGGGACGGCAGTCCGAAACCGACGACGATGACCACAACGGCGATAACGAAGGGCGCAAGCCACATCACAGGCTCACCCTATTTTTAATAAACCTTAGTTTATCTTTTTGTTATCCGAAGTCTCTCTCTCTCCGATTCCGATTTCCCTACATATATGTTTTCACTTGTAAACAGTTCGAATTTATTCAATTTAACCCTCGTATCGTACGAACAAAAAACTGTGATGGGTTGCAAGGTTTTATATCCGATATAATTAAGAGATGAAAATAAATGTTACAGAGCTACAACAAATATTTATTACTGTTAATGCACCGTGATACATAAGATGAAAAAGTATTTGTGTTAATAATAATAAAAATAATAAACTGATGTTACGTAGACACCCTCCGTACCCTAACATAGGAAACCCCTATTTTCCAATCACCGGAGCTAGCCATGGAAATCCGAATACGGAAACGCGATTAGGAAACTCTTGCGAAAGGATCCAACGAGTTCATCGGCCAAACGGCTCCAAAAGTCATCGACCGACCCGGGGCGAACAACCTGATGACTACGAAACGCCACCCTCACCTGGGCCCTAGGAAACCCCCACCAATTGGAACATCCTGCTAATAAAACCAGCAGCCAAATCGAGACGACGTGTATTTAGTTAGAGTCAGTTCTTACGCTACACGTCAGTCTTCAGTCAAGTATCATCAAAACTTCGAGAGGAGCTCCTGGTCCCCGGTACTCCGTTTCTTGCGAGTCAGAGACCGAAACCGCCGGACTCCCCGCCAAGGACCACTATCCTGCGAGCTGCAGTAGTGCCATCCGGTACTCCAGCGATCCAATCTCCGAATCAGGACTAGACGGCGGCACTGCGACTTCCGTTGGACGGGAGGCTTCTAGGACACCTCCAACCCTAGGGCACGCCACGGGACGAAGTTGTTCACGCACAGTCATCCGACCGGGTCGATCAAAAGAGACTGTCACCGATTACGGCTGCTGGACATGCCAGGTAGAGGATCCTTCGCAAGCTCGATTCATCCTCATTTTCATTCTAGTTTATTTATTAACTCTTCATCTCCGACCAAAACCGAATTCTAACCATCATCGCAACTTCCATGCCTTGCTCCGATTAACCAGATAGATTAAGAATCCATCGACTTCCATTAAACAGCTGAGCTCGAATCTCAGCGTCGCGAAATAGAATCACGCGCAGACCGTCATTAAAACAGTAAGAATTCCCGCGTCAGCACACCAGCGTCCAGTAACCTGCCGCCGCTAAAGCGCGCTATCGCGACACCTGAACCGCCGCGACGCGGAAGTATATTAATCTAGAGAAATTAGGTCAAGGCACCTCGGGCGCCCTTCCAGCTGATTGTAGTTCAGACCTCACGTACGAATAAACGCAAATCTTAATACAATAGCCATATAGCCATTCGTCCGCACCCCTTTTTTATTCCTCACTCCCCTAGATCCCACCAGAGGAATCGATCTAGCCGCTCGGATCAATCTCCTCACAAACTTAAAATAATCGTTACGCGCAAGATTTGGGTAATCTCCATTTGAATTACCCCGGCCTCGCATCCGCTCGGCCGCCCCATAACATTGATAAATAAACTGATACTACTACCGATCCTTTTAGATTAAGCAATGTGAATTCTTCGGACAAGTTCATGAATGTAAACTGCAAGATTTATTATTGCAAAACTTAAATAAATATTTACAAATGTGGATTCTGTCATTTCAGTTAGTACATTACTGGAAATATTATACTCATCGTCTTTATAATTTGATCAGTTAAAACAAACAATCGGTGTTAATGTAAATGAATTTAACGATACTGCTGTTATTAGCGGAGATTAATTCTTTCTCATATTGACTGTTCACTAGTAACAACAACGTCACTGAAAAATTAATGTTAAATCTTATATAATTTTAATTAGTACATTACCGGCAATGTTATACTCATTGTCTTTATAGTTTGACCCATTAAACCAGATAAATGTTATTAATATAAATTAACTTTCTGATGATATTGCTGTTATTGATGAGAATATATCTCAAAGAATCGGTCCCAATACAGCACTAAATACTGTGCTAATAATGGAATCGATTCTTTCATATTGACCGTTTACTACTACCCGCAACAATACTGAAAGATTGATTTAAACCGGATACAAATTTTCTGTTTTGTTATGGATGAAACCATAATGACGATGGGTATAACATTACCAATAATGTACTAATTAAAATAAAAGAATTGACTGATGTTTTTTAATAAAATCAGCTGCACACCACTAAATCTTGTATTTGTCATCTATCTACCGGAAGCAGGTCGAAAGGGATCGATGCATGCATAGTATTACTGCTGGAAATACTTGGTAATAAAGTAAAAGTGTTAATACCATATTAGCATCGATTGATATTAATATGCTATCTATATTTTTACTTTTACCAAGTTTTTTAGATAATGCTCTTACAAGGACAGTACCCGAGACCGACCTCACCGATTTTCTCCATTCGCATGTATGTTGTTCTATATGGAAAATTATTAGATACGTATTTTTTTATACGTGCTAATTCATCCATGTAACGGGGGGAAAATGGATCCTGAAGCTCACCTCCAAAATGTGAGTTTTCAGTATTTCTTGGAAAATACGCTACATATCGTAAATTTCAATGTCCGAACTTATAGCTCATCGAAAGTCGCTGGGATGCCGTACATTTGCGTTGCCGAGGGTTGCATCTCTTCAATTTCTGGGGGTGAAATTTAATTTTTTTCGGAATTTCTTCACGATAAAATCTTCTGATTTCCTCTAATTTTATCAAAAACAATTCCACAGTATATAACATTAAAAGAATTAATTGACCCGTGCCGGTACTTTTGCGAAATTCCCTTGAAGGGGGAAACCACCTCAAAATCATTCATTACCAATCCATGTGCATTTTTTTTAGAAAACCAGCTGGATAACATTCATTGAAGATAAATAATGATGTCGAGAGTATTCTCGTGTTCAGATATCGCATACCTCAAATTTTACCTAGGGAAATTTCATTTATTTCCATTATTTTAATGTAATTTGTTCTTCAAACGGCTACAATCTTAATGGAATCCTTTATGGTGAAGAACAATGCGAAGAGATGATTTACACATGTTGCTTCTTTCCAACAAGAGTTTTGAATAAGATCTACTATCCTTAAATACCGTTCACGAACATTCCTTTAAAAATGATCAGTGTAAATTACTCCCCATTATCGTTTATTAACAAGAGATTTGATTCAATATGTAAATCATCAACAATAGGAAGTGATAAGTTATTATCAGTATTATAGTACTATCCGACCTCTCTGTTTTATTTGCGTCATTACCACCCGTGTATTAGGGTCTGTATTTCTTACAGTAATGGTAGTGATGGAAAAAATATTTTAAGCATAATGATTTCTTACACCACGAGCATCTCACAATTGCGATACTAGAGCAACCTTCTACTTCACAGCGAACATCAGAATTGTGTCCATAGCCGAACTGGACTGGATTTTCGAAATCTCCTGATTCTTCTTTTGTACCGTAAAAATTTGAATATATTGAAGTATCGAGGAGATGAGAATTGATTGTGAACCAAAGATTGAAGTTTGATGGTATTATTTCTCATATGGAGATTCAAATCTTCATGCATAAGTATGACGCTGTCCGAAAAATGACTCACATATTTTTACCATACTCTAAACCTATACACATCTAATGGCTGAATCTTGCCAGTGGTCTCTGTCGGAAATAATTTGACAGGGATATCTTTATTGGCAGGAGTTACCTCGTCTACAACTGCAGAACAATGTCCGCTCCGCGAATCAATCAACAATACACTCGAGGATCCAACATGTGGAATGTATACGTCCTTCAGGCAAGTTTTGAAATGGTCTGATAATATATTTTTCGAACATATTAATGAGAAAAATAAATGATAACCATAATGATACCTGAAGTCAGTTTCTCAGATTTAGACGCCATAACATAGACGTTGAAGGGTATAAATAAATTCTTCTTTACTACTGACCCAAATTCTCCGCTAGGTTCTTTCAGCACAATAAAGTGGGGTGACAAAAGTTTCCCATCGGCTGATATCAGTGAATAGTATAACTGTGTCTCGCCGAAGAAACAGATTGCACCAAACATTGAACTTGTTCTCCTTCAACTGCCAATGTTCGTCCAGAGTGCATTTCCAATTGGAATCCACTCTGATCTTAATTGAAAACATTTCCTGAACCTTATGTTAAAATCTCTCGTCTTATATCGGCTACAAAGGAATCGGCTTTCTGTTGTAAGTAGTCTGCACCTGCAAGCGTTTTCTTTGTAACAAATTTATTAATTTTCCTGCTAACAATTCTATGAGATCGTTTGAAATTATTCACCCAGTGTCCGGAAGCTCTGAAACAAACATCTTCATAACCAATTTCTTTTTGCGCTTGTAGAGCCCAGTTTTGCAGATCTATATCATGTATAATATGTCCAGCATCAACTGCGTTTTTGAAATTTTACAAAACAAACTGACAGATTCGTCGTATCTTGTCTCTGTAAATACCCCCTTTGATGAGTATATGAGTCCAGCATTTTAATTGTGAGATGGATCTGACTTTCCGGAATCGAATCTGTACAGTTTTTAATGCGAGATTCTTTCCCTTTCCATTTATCAAAAATTTCGCAGTTCTTCTTTTATAATCATGAGACAATTATTCAGAATACATCGAACACTGTTCAATATCATCGCTCAAATTCCATATTCTGTCATCATCCTCTACTATTTGCATTGGAACATCTTTATAAGGCACCTGAAAACCTAATTTTTCGTCTTCTATAACTTCTATATCATTGAATTCATGCGTAGCGTAAAATAAAATATTTTCAATGATTTCTTTCAACTCAATTTCTCGCTGTGTCAGAGGAGTATTTTCCAATTGTAATCCTGAATATGTCACCAGTAGCAATTGTAGAACATTCATAGGATTTATCACCATTTTGATGAAATATAATTTGAGGCCCAGTCACTTTTCAATTCCAAGTTTAGTTATTGTTATAGATATTCAAAGTGGACATAGAAAAAAATTTGATATAATTCCACAGAATGACCATACCTGCACAATGACGTGTTTTGATTCTCTTCACTATTCATGTAAAAAAACGGTGAAATTTAATATTTCCAGGATGCACTTCAGTGAAATAATAAAATATAAATGACAACGATTGCACTGAACGATGCGTTACTTATGTAACGCAATGTCGGTACTACATTGAATCGCAATCGTTAACGAATTCGATATGCATCATGAAACTGCGTCATTTCTCATTTGTCAATTTGAAAATAACACAATCTCATGTTTATTAATAATAAGGAGAACATCATATGGGTCATGTAGTTCAATGGATTCAGACAATTTATACCCGCTTTAATCGTTGTTTACGGAAAGAAAGGTTTGGAATGTCACGGGAGAAAACTTCCCGCACGTTCTCCTCAGGAAATTTCATGAAAATTTTTCAAAGTATGTAACTGCTGAACACAAGAATACTCTCGATATCATTATTTATTGTCAATGAATGTTATCCAGCTGATTTTCACAAAAAACTGGACGCGGATTGGTAATAAATGGTTATGGGGTGGTTTACCCCTTTCAAGAGGAATTTCGCAAAAATACCAGCACAGGTCAATTAATTGTTTCAATGTTACATGCTGTGGAATTATTTCGATAAAATTGGATGAAAACGGAAGATTTGATCGTGAAAACGTACCGAAAAAAATTAAATTTCACCCCCAGGAATTGAAGGGATGCAACCCTCGGCAACGCAGTTGTACGAGATACCAGCGGCTTTCGACGAGACGACGCTGGAACAATGAAATTTGCGATATGCAGCATATTTTCCAAGATATACTAAAAAATCCCTTTTTGAGGGTGAGTTTTGGGGCCGTTTTCACCCCTTAAATAGACGAATTAGCACGTATAAAAAATACATATATAAACATTTTCCATATAGAACAACATACCTGCGAATTGAGAAAATCGATGAGGTCGGCCTCGGGTACTCTCCTTGTTAGAGCAATCATAGCCCACACGGAACAAATGTTCTATTGTACGTATATAGAATGTTTCATGGCTATGTAGTTGATGTTTCAGTGTATCAGAAGTTAAAAATATACGTATAATATATGTTCACGGAATGTCAAAAATATTCTATTGGATTTTACATGTACATTATACGTATTAAATATGTTACTAGAACATCAAAATTTGCACCAATTAAATACGTTTAGTAAACGAATAATTGTATAACGTGAAGTATACGTATAAAATAGTAAACTGTTTAACAGGAATTGGTATGTGCAATATTTCACATGCAAAAAACATAATGGATATATGTTGTGCGTATAATAAGGGAAGAAAAACTGACCTATCAAAAACATAAAATGTATATATATTTTATGTACGTAAATATACAACATTTTACTCACATAATTGATATATGTATGTTATACGTTACTAAAGCATGTACATATTCGCCAATTAAATACGTTTCATAAACGTATAATACATCTCTATTTAATAGACTCCTGTATCTGTGATATTACACATGCAAAAGACATGTAATGAACGTATGTTGTGTGCCTATTAAAGGAAGAAAAATTGACCTGTCACGGACGTAAAACATATATACGTTTTATGTACGTAAATATGCATTATTTTACCTACATGTTTGATATATGTATGTTATACGTTACTAGAGTATCTTCATATTCACCAAGTGAATACGTTTAATAAACGTATAATACATCTCTGTTTAATAGACTCCTGTATCTGCGATATTAAGCATGCAAAAGACATCTAATGAACGTATGTTGTGTGTACATTAAGGGAAGAAAAATTGACCTGCCACAGACGTCAAATATACGTACATCCTATGTAAACAAATATAAATTATTCTATTCGTATGTTTGATATACGTACTTTATACGTTCGTAGAACAACCACGTTTTCACAAATAAACGACGTATACTAAACGTATAATATACTTCTGTTTAAGGCGCATTTGTGTCTGACATATCACACATGCAAAAGATATGTAATATGTGTAAGTTGCGCGTATATTAAGAAAATGAACATTAATTTGCCGTATACACATGACATACATACATAATACATACGTATAATAACAAATATACAGGGAAATTTATTTCTACCCATAAAGTACATAATACAATAAATGCTTGTAATATGTGCCTAGATGTATTCAAATAAAATGGTACAATAAATGCTTCTTTGCTGCATGTTTCTTATATGCTTCGTTGGTGTGCGACCTGACTGCTGCAGACTGAAAGTGAAGCTCATACAAAATGAAAATGATGTGACGAGACATCGTTTTGGCCGCGACGGTTTTCTTATACAAGTATAAGTATTTGCAAGGAATATATGTATATATATATTGTAACGGGTCAAGCGGCTAACATGAGCCACTGTACGTTAGGACCATTATTTCGGTATACTTAGGACATGCGCAATTAGTATGGCATAAGAGTAGGGAGACCTCGGGAGAGGGAAGCGCGGCTCGCGAGCGCGGAGCATCGCGAGAGAAGTCACTAAGTCTGGGATATCGATCGGATATCGATCAAAGACGTTTCTCTCTTAGATCAGGACTCCGGAAGCGTGCGTATCAAGCAACCATAGTCACATAGATTGTGAGAGTTTATCGGGTACTCGCGACCGCGATTAAAACAAACGTTGAGGAGTAGAATTCGGAGTTCTGGTAAACCACCTCGTTAAGCAGCTGTTCGTTCCTCGGTGACTGGGCACTGCCGCCCACGATTCGAGCCGGACAGTGCGCTGGCGAGAAGTCGCCCTTTAGAGTTTTGTCCCAAATTCGATGACCGAGCATTGCCGCTCACGATTCGATTACGGAGAAAACTCTTAATAAGGGTGAATGCGTTTGATTTGTTTATTTTCAGGTCCGTGTTCCAGTGGGTCTGGTATAGCGACCACACCCACATCCTATTTTCTCAAATCCTCGTCTATTATAATCCTACCTTTGTATCCTCAAAATCGCATGTTGCGATTGATAGCAGAAGTCCTAATCCTCAAAACCTTCACCCAGCCAATATCCGCGGCTGGATAATCTAATTTAAGTGGTACTAAAACCCGGAGGAATTAACTCCGGATGAAACATAGATCCGTGGTTGATTTAGTCCGCGAAACCAATTATTAGTACAGTTTTTCAAGTAGGGCTGATCAGCCACCCGAATTAGGTGTTAATTTCTCATACGTGTTGTTAATCAACAACATCGCCTTCCAATTCCACCAACGGTTAGATTTTAAGTCAAACGCGTCAGTAAGAAGTCGACACGTGGGGAAAGGGGACGCGGAGGTCGCGTAGACGGTTGTTAATTCCTATTTGAATTCTACCCCAAACCACCAGTTACACATAACCTCTACATCCCATGTTGCCATATTCCATGTCGATTCTATGATGAGCGAATAGAACGCACCGATAATGGAATAAGTCGTTCTTACTGAGTATCAATTCCTTTCCTATCCTCTCCTTCTAGAATTCAACGCATGAGTCAGGGAAAACCTCTTTAATCAAATTAGGACTGCATCGACTGTAAATTGAAGGTGCCGAAAATCCAAGCATTTTCCAGGAAATTTAAATCACCGAATTTCACTTAGACGGGACGGAGCCGGAGCGCTTAGCCTTAAAAAAACTCGCTCGAACCGGTTCTCGCGGACAGGCCTTCCCGAAATCCACAATATTGACGCGCTCAGCTGATCGTTCGTAAACGCTCTCCTCGCTCTCTCGCCAGTCTCTTTTCCTTTCTTATCTTTAAAATTTAATTAATTTCGGTCTCAGGAGTCGTGAGGCTCGAACCCTCGACGGATGCAGTTTCTAGGTGCATAAGCACTAACAAAACTGCATACCATTACAATATATATATATATAGTAGAATAATTTTATATATATAGTGACGGATA